ACATCAGAGCAGGCTGTGTGCATGCAGAGACATCAGAGCAGGCTGTGGGGAGGCATAGTGGTGGGAGAACTGTGGAAAGTCCACTCAGATCGTCTAGCTACTAAATCTGAAAACCATTCCACCAGTGAAAATCAGTTGAAAAAAAAGAAGGGAGGGAAAAACAAGAAACTATTCTTACTACTTTATAAAAATACAGATTTACTCACTACATCACTAGGATTCTCGGTACCCAGAAAGTTGCGACTCCCAGAGACAGGGCACTCTTGCCAGTCTGCTTTACCACTGGGTCCCCAGAACCCTGTAATCTGCCCCTAAGGGTTTGTCGAGTGAGTACAAGAATTTCAGGCTTGTGCCCCATTTTACAAGAAGGAGCCACCATGGCTCCCTTCCCTTTGACGTGATGTAAGACAGTTGGCTTTGCAGGTGCTCGGGCAGGTTAGGGCAGCTGGAAGGGAAGACTCACACAGTGGCTGGTGGGTAAGGCATGATGGGAGCTGAGGAGATGTAGGCCAAGGCTGGTGAACTTGGGGCTGAGGGTGCAGCAGTTAGGTACCAGAGTCCAGGGAGCGGTCGTACAGGTGAGCCCCTGTTCTTCAGCTTGGGACTGGGGTTGGAAGATGCAGTTTTCCTTGGGGTGTCCTTCTCTGTAAGGGAAGGAAGGACACATAGAAACTGTGTGAGGTTATGGGCAGATGCAGCCGAGCCTATAGCGTTCCCGAGGTCTGGCCAAGCCCATGACTGAAGAAAGGTACTGAGCGTGTATTCCTACTAGAGCGGGCTGAGCTGGGGCCATCTACTTCTGCAGTGGACCTGATTGTACCACAAAGAGGACAGCGGAGGGCGTCAGCAGTGGATGGTTCCGGCAGCTCTCTAGAGTCAGCACTGCCTGGAAGGGAAGAGAGAGATGTCTGGAAAGGGTGACCTCACAGGCCACCAGGCTGTGCGCCGGAGGACACAAACAGCGACCACGATGGTGTAAGTAGGCACTGACCACATGCTGCTAGGTCACGGTGCTAGCTACTCTGCCCATCTCCCTCGGCAGTTGGGGGAAGCTGGGCTGCTGCAAGACAGTACTTTGCCAAAGGAAGTGGCTATCTAATC